AATATTGAGCTTATTACGAAAAAAAAAAAAAAAGTTTAAAAATTAGGTTAGGAAATCATCTCTCTAAAGATCTCTTATTGCAACAATGGTGAGCAGGATACAATGTGTTATCTGTAGATTTTAAAACCAAAATATAAGAGGAAAGCACTTCACATTTGGATGAAATACCAGGAAACAATTATACCAAGGAAAAAGCAAATTTTAATTTCCATCAGCCAACAGAGCTTATTTTATTTTTCCAAGCTATCTGAAGGAAAGATCTCTGAATTCAGATTGCAAAGAGAAAGCACTTTGTCTCTTATCGAAGCATGAGAGAAGGAAGTTAACAGAGCTGTCATGGCCTAGCCCTCAACTCAACAATCCTCCAAAAAGGAGTGTGGTAAACAAATTAATATTCTTGACTATAGTTACCTATAATGTATAAAGTAATATTTTTGATTAAAGTTGAACACTGGAGCAAACATCCAGACACTGTGATTCTATTTTCCCAGGTTCCACTACTCTTGCACTGCCACGAAGTGACATTTTCTGGTGCAAGGCTGTTCAGCTGAGAGTTTCTCAGCCAGCTCTGTTGATTCCTCTGTGGATGAGAAAAGCACATCACACCCAAATCTCACTTCCACTGCCACAGGACTTGCATCTTTGCTCAGAGGGCTGACATAAGACAATGAACTGTGAATTTTCCCGTCGAAGAGGGTGGGCATGTTTCAAGTTCTGCCTCAATTTACCAGCTGTCCCCAAGACTGCAATCTTGTCAGCAAATAGCATCATTCATCTTTCTGAGACAACAAACCCAACAAGTAAAGAGCGGAAAAGCAAACCCTGCAGCAGCTCAAGGTAAGATCAAAGCTATTTGAAAACTTCCATGAAAATGTTTTAGGACAAACAAGAACTCTCTGACCAAAATTGTGTAGGAAAGGTTAATCTTTTCTTATTTTTTCCCACTTCTTCCTCAGCATAAGAAGTCTGTTAGTTTTTGGCATCATAATCTGCTAAAAAAAACCCAAAAAACCAACAAAGAAGCAGCATTGCTTACTTTTCCTGCAGACATTCTTTCATCCAAATCCCTATATGTTTACTGAAAATTGTTTTAAAGCGAACGCTCAGTTTCAAGTTTAATTAATTAAAGACCAGACAACGAAAATATCCGCAGAGAACAGTTACCATTTCTCAAAACCAAACTAAGCTTTCAGAAATGGAGATGCTAAAGCAGAGCCAAAGATTGGTACACCAGGCTGAGCTGGGACAGGGACAGAAGAGCAAGGTGGTGCCCATGGATGTCTGGTTTTATGTCCCACCCTTTTCATGAACTCTTGGGTGAAGAGATACGACCCCCAAGGGAGTTTGTTTTCAGCGTGACAGTGCCCCAGGAGCTGGGGAAACCATTAATGTTGATGGCTTTGCTCCAGGGATGTTTAGCATTCTCTCAGGAAAGATCCTTTTCCCCCCAGTCCAATCCTTATGAAAAGTGCCAGTGAGGCAGCTTGGGGGATTTTTTTAAGGGACACTTCCCTCTGGTTAGTACAGGGGCAATAACTTTGATGACTTGCTGCAGCTCCAAGCCAGACTCTGCTCCATCT